TTGAAATAATTTCCTGCAGTTTGCTTACATTTGACTCATAAAAAATTTGCTCCAGAACCGTAACTGTATCTTTAGCGGCTGTGATGTATGCATCCCAAGTATTTAACTACATGTGAATTATGAGAGGTGAGAGATGTGGTTATGGCAGGATTTCAACATGTCCTCCTTTCAAACCCATTGGCCCAATCGGCACATAAATCTAACGAAAACATTTCCTGGGAAAGGAAAATCTTTCAGTAGCCACTTATCATCAGAAGAAGTAATTCCATCTTGTCATCTTGTGACAATGTCATCCAGCAGGTGCAGCTATTGGTGAGCTACTGCAGATCTCGTATGTAATCTATATTGGCATAACTCATTTTTTTATTAAAAGCACATTGAATTTCACATTTGATGAAGACTTTGAATGAATGATTCACAATCAGTTGCTCCCTAGATGAACAACCTTCAGTGCTTTTTGGGGAGATTGAGTTTGTCAAGTCACATTACATCGCAGCCCTGCACCAGACTATTTACTCTGAGCTGAGCACATTTGCTCTTCTAGTTTGGGTTTCTAGTTTCCCACGCCACACGTGATGTTAAACAAATATGGTGGGCGTATGGATAAAGTGATAGAGAACACAGAACAAATAGATAAGACTAGTGACTGGGGAGAGGCTGTGTCAGACATAGACATCTCTGAAGTATAAAATTAAATTTGCTGCAGTTAGGAGTCAATAGGTGTCTAAGTCCCACAAGCTCCAGACGCAGATCTGTGAGTGTTTGACAAAGTCGTTAAAAAGCGCTCAGTCTGGACTTTCTCATTAAGAAGGAGATGGAGGAGTCAGGTTGACATTTAGACTGAGGCAGGGCAGGAACCATTAGGGCTGCTAGGAGATCCAAGTAAACTCGTGGTACACTCCTGCATGTGTTTGTGTATGTGACTGTGTCTACAGAGTGTGTGTTTTCTGTGTGAGGGGAGGTTAGTGCATGAGGTGAGTTATCCTCTGATTACAGTTTTGTGGGATTAAACAGTTTATCTCACATTGAGTTGGTCTTTGTTAGTCAGAGCCAGAGGATGGTGGGAAAGCAGAGGGTCACCAGTCTCTCTGTGCTAGCTATCTCTGCAACTATGAACAATAATATAATAAATAACACAACACAGTGAATATGCAGTGTATGTGTCAGATTTAAAGGGCCAGATGATACAAACTGCCTGTACATTACAGCAGCACTGACCATAAGTGTCAAAAGAAAACTATTGCTTACACTCAACCCTAAACATTCACACCTAGTGTAAGGAGCATAAACACAGAAGTCACAACCTTTGACAAAATGTACTCTACCTTGATGACTTTCTTTCAGTATTTTCTCTCCATCCAGGTTTGCATCTGATCTGATTAAACAGCTGAGAGAGATTAAATCCGGTGATTTAATGTGACTGAACTATTGTGGAAAGTGGATTTTCACTTCATTCATCCCTCAAATGACTGGAGGCTTTGCATCTTGGAGCTCCATCCAATCACTACAAACAGTTCAAGATGCAGCATGACAACAAGCCAAAAAGATGCCGGCTGTGTGCACTTATATCTTATGAACCATTTGACGCACAAATGTAGTCAAGTGTTAATATTATTCTGTTAGCATGTTTTCACTTTAAGGACAGTCCAGATTAATAGGAAAGAAATATGTAAAATAGTTCACACAGAATTATCCTTAAAGCTTCACTAATCCATATTATATGTAGCTTTTATAGTATAACAATTATAACTAAATGAATGCTAATGTTTCTGCTGCATGTTTAAATAGGCAACTGTTTGCAAATATGTTGGCCATTTCAAATTTCTGAGGCAATAATATGTCCACTAACCCCCAAGTGGCCAAAAAATCAATTAATACAGCTTTACTGAAAACGTAATTTCCCTGGACATTATGCAAATTTGCAAGCTCACTTAAAAAGGTACCAATTGGCAAAGACAGCATAGTTTTTTTTCAGCCATTACTGAGGAAATAGCTCGATCTTTGCTTGATCTTGAACTTTATTGATTAAAGGTGGGGTGTGATTCTGAAGACATCCAATTCCATGACAAATAACACGACGACACAGCAGGTAGTGTAACTGACGTTAGCTAAGTTGTGGGTTAGCAAACTGTCGCTGAAGTTGCTGCTGTGAAGACAACATGGCAGCTGCAACTCTACTGCTACTAAAGCTAACATCACAACAACAGCATGTCTTTGCTAACTAGAAAGTAAGCTGAATGTCCGTGGGCAAGTCATTTTACATTACCTGACAAACAAATCATTGCTGGAATGGCTGGAATACTGTTATGAGCCATGTTTGTTCTGCTTGTTTCTCATTTATAACTATGAACAAACTGACAGTGAGCAGACCTTGAGGGTAGCTACTAAAGTTTGTCATCATCATTATGTGGAGCAAATATAAAACACAAACTGCTATAAATATTTTGAAGCCACTTCTGAAATATAATCTCTTTGGTGGAACAGCATCACATCTTGTTTTGCTGTTTATTTGGTGATCTGTACTGTGACCATGGTGGAGCTAGTTTTAACATCTTTATATGCAGTTAACAAGTTTAGTCAAGTGGTTCCCAAACTAGGGGTCGGGCATCCCCAAAAGGTCACATTAATGGGGGGAGGAAGGAAGAAGAAAGAAACAAAGTTCTGATACATACACACACACACATCTATCTATGTGTGTGTGTGTGTGTGTGTGTATATATATAAAAATGTGTATATATTTAGATTTTCCATAATCTTTACTTTTTTGTGAAACATTGGATAATTTTTCCTTTTTGAGCATGAAACAGTTGTTTGGAAGAAACCATGTGAGAAATTCAGAGAGGAAATGTCTCTTTGGAGGAACTGCTGACAACTCATAGACATCTGAAACGTGACAAGGAGCCCCAACCAGACACTGCTTCTCTGTAAGAGGTCACAAGACAAAAAGGTTGGGAACCACTAGTTTAATCTTTAATGGATTGTATTTTATAAATGCATGGTGTGTGTTTTTCAATGTAAAATCATAATCTGAAAGGTAACCTGAAACAGCCTATGTCCAATTAGATTTAGAGGAGTAGAAGTATAAAGTAGCATAAAATGGAAATACTTAAAGTAAATAAGTTACTTTCCACCACATGTGTGGTCTCAGTGCCATGGTCATTGGTGATTTAACAGAGCAAGTGGCATAATGTCATTTAAAAAAAGTTAGTGCATGCCTGATGTGCAATTATGTAATTGTTTCCTTAATATATTAGAATTAGTAGGAGCACTTGAGAACACATGCTCTCTGTAAACACAGGCAATCATCCCATATCATTGCTCAATCATCCATGTGCAACAGTAACCCATTTTCCTCGGTTAATTAAAGGCAGAAATACTTCACCCATGACCGCTGAAACACAAAGCAACAATTTTCTGCAGATGAGTACCATTGAATCTGCATTTCCTGCCTTGCTCTAAAACATAATCTGCAGTAAATCAGCTTTGTAGCCATGCAACCAAACTGCAATAAATATTTAATATGTGTCAGCAAGTTTGTCACCTTAAAAGTTCAAAGTGTGGCAAACATGGAACCAACAATAAATCATGTGGTGATTTTAGAGTGCTGCAGCCTTTTTCAGATGCTGAACAAATTCCATTAACCTCTCTAACACTCAACACATAGGGGCATTAATCACTAATCTAAGCTTTGGCCAAGTCACTACCAAACATTATTTAGTACAAAATTCAACTACTTTTGAATAGAAGGCATCCCCAGTGTATATTTTACATAATATATAAAGGAATGACAGGTGCCACACAGTCCACTGAGGTTTAAAACAGGTGCAGTCACTGCAAAACCAAGAGGATTTCAAGTATTTTAATTTTGCTGTCAGATTATGTTAGACCTGTAATAATATGCCAAACTGACGTAAAGTAAGAAACAAAAGTCATTCTCTCTCTCTCACCTTGTCTGCTGTCAATTGGAAATAAAAATTACAGCTCCACGTTTCTCATAATTCCCCTCAAAAAGTTGCGTTTTGACGCTGTAACTCCAGGCTTTCTCCTTTCGGCATCTGTCAGTGTCATTCAAAATTGCATTCAATTAAACGGAGTAGAGTGAAATACTGCACCATGCACGCACTCTCCCTCTCAGAGACAGTCAGCAGCACTGCAGAGGAGAACACGCTCAGACATGAGGGGTAATATACCCACAACATCATCATGTGACCATCACAAACCTCCAGCTGAAGTTTGCGCTGCATGCCGGGCAGCTGGTCCAAAGCTGAGAGAAGTGAAGAAAGTTTGCTCCACCTGCTGTACGCTTACGCCCTCTGTTGGGTGTAGATGGCTACTGGACTCATTTGAACTGATATTGTTTTAAACTCATTAACACAGAAACAGAAAACAGGTCAAGAAACAAATAAACACAGAACAGAGGTGTCTTTGGCTTTTACTTATAGCTCTACACCTAATTAGATGATGCATTCATTAACCCCTCGTAAACTCAGCAATCGACTGACTCAAAACAAGTTGTAAACACGACCTTATTCTAGTCAGTGTACTTTCCACTGGGGACGCTGGGACATGTCCCCACCACTCTTTAAACTGGCTGATTTTGTCCCCATCACTTATTAAAAGCAATTGTTAAAATGTTCTGAAAAATAGTTTGCAACAAAAAAATGTTAAACAACAAATGAAAATACTCTGAGAAAGGTATATTTGCACACTAAGAAAACATGCAATGCCATGTAAATATAAAAGAAACATATGTGCATTGTCCAAAAAAAAGTAAATTAAGCTAAAAAAAAACAAACAAACTACTGAATACTGCATTATATTCTGTTATATTTTTAGCTGTCACCTGAATTTTGTGTTTCCCTATAAGATGTCAACAAGATGTAGCATGGTCAATAGTTGAGGAATGTAGGACAATTATGCGTATACCACAGACATCCCAATTTTTCTTACAGCAAGTGAAGGCATCGCGAATAACTGTCCAACGGGAGTGCGGGAGAAGGGCGTATCGAGCGCGCGCCCGCTTGGTGGGTGGAGCCGGGAAAAGGAATGTACCTAAAGTAACGCTTCAACAGGTAACAGGCACGGGTCGCCATTAATATTTTATCCACATCAAACGGACCAGGGCGGAGGTAAATATAAAGTATGACCGAACAAAACCCTTCATAAAGTTTCTGAAGATGTCAGTGTGTTATGTGCACTCAGTGATACAGCCTACAGTCTGTTATGAATGTTTGATGTGTTTGCAGGGTTAGCCTACTGTAAAACTTCTGGGTGGACTGCTTGTCTTCTTTTGTCAGCTGGACAACACGTCAAACTCTATTCAGAATTTTGATATTTTTACTTGGCATATTTTACCTGAACAGGTACACATCTGTAAAGCACATAAAATATGTTTAAGAGAAACTGCTTCAATTCGGCAGCGACCAGCCTACAAGACCACACCTTATTTAGTCAATATTTACAACCAGGGTGTCTGTTTCTTATGGGTTTTTACATCAGAACACACTATTGAGCACAGCCTTTCACAGTGTGCCTGTAAGGCAATACAGTTTTAGATTGAAGTGATGCATGATGAATGTATAAAATGTTTTTACAACAGAACACATTCTTAGAAAAGGGAAAGAAAATTGCATCATGCCAAGTGGAGAAAAGCTGCAGATTGGAGAGCAGAAGTTTCTGTGAACCAATTCTTAAGAAAGTTAAACTTAAACATAAACGTAAATTTAAAGCTTGAGGAAGAGATGAGGTAATTCTGCAAGGCACCACAAGATGGTAGGATTGGGATGCATGAAGGTGACTACAACCTGCTTAAACTTAAACATGTCCTGTTTTAACATTAGAGTTTGTTTTTTAAAGTTACACTATGTATGAAAATGTTCAGCTATTTCCTTGTGGGATGTAAATTGGTCACAATTGGGGTTGGATTCTGAACCTAAATACTTCTTTTAATACCATGTGTCTCTGATTTTAGATTTTATTTTATTTAGGCAAAGTTATATGGCTGCTTGTGTTTAGACAATGTTTAACATTTTAGAAGTTTGGCATCTTTTTTAAAATAAAAAGTGGGGTTTTGTAGGTAACATGTTTACATTCCTCAACTAAGGTATCAAAAAAGCATTGTTTTGCAATCAACACTGGAATGAAGGCATAGTACAGAAAGACATCTAATTATACCCATTACTATACAAGAGAAATAATGGGTAATGCTCTCCCACTGCTTGCAATCCAAAGACCCCTGGTGGGATGACAGGATATCAAAACTCGAGTCACATTCAGGGAAGAAGAGAAATAAACATCAACAACACCAGACACAATTTATTTTCCTTTCTGTGACCACTCCTCAGAACTGTACTTACAATGTGGTTTCCCTTGTTGTATATGAAATCAAATTGTAAACTCCCTCACATTCACTCCAGCTCTAGCTACCATGAAGCTCAATAAAATTGTCAATCTAGAGGGAAAAGGTGACAGCAGGAACAGATAAAACGAGAAGTGAATTTTTGCACCAAGTGGAAGAGGAGACGTCACTTAAAGCACTTCTGTTAAGAAGTGCTTTATTCTGTTCAGCTGTTAAATGTGTTTAATATAGAAATACATCCATATGACTTAAGTTGTAAACATTAGTTATTAAGTTACAGTTACACACAGTAGAGAGTCAGTAGAGAATCAGTAAGTGGTACAAAATACCTATTTCACACCCTGCTTGTTACAGTATATTACTTTTGTTTACTGGTCCCGGTTCACTTTTAAATGGGTAGTGTGCATGGAAATGAAATTGTTCAGGGCAAATAAGACACGCTGTGTATATACAGTCTCTTTATTTCCCTGCAGATATAGACCCCGTGGGGCCCAGTTTGAGAGTCATATTGTTTAAGAAATGCTGTCCTAAGGCATAAAACCAACAGCTCACTTTGACTCTGAAGGGAAGTCTCCTCTGTGTCTTTGCCCCGGTGTAAAGGTCTTCACTGTCTGTATGTCAATTACTCCTCTGGGACCTCGTTACAGCCCTGGCCAATCACGCACCCCCCTTAATTAACACAGGATATTACATTCTTGTATTTATAACCCAATAACTAGACTGGCCAGCTGAAAAGGTCACATCAACAGTTTAGCAGTTTCCGCCTTATAGCAGTGCAGCCCAAGAGGATATGGCTGGGAGGAGAGCCAAATGAACCGGAGGCATAGAAACAACTAAAACAGCAGAACTTTTTGACCTCAGACTGTCGCAGTTGGTTGGATTCACCTTGCTGTTATGTTCAGCTCTGAGGAATCCCTCAACCATGCTCAGCTATGCTGCTAGCACCATGTTCAGGACGTTTTTGAAAGAATCCCTGTAAAATAGGCTTATACTGAGTAAGACGGTGACACCACATGAGAAGGAAATGTAATCCAAAGCATCAAATGTAAGAGAAAATTGCATTTCCTCACCTTTGCGGGTCTATCACAGACACCAGTGTCCTCAGCTAATGTGCCCGAGGCAAAATTTCCCGCTGCAGAGAGACATCGGCACGTTCGCTGAATCTCTCTGCTCAAATTCTGGTGTGGTTAACTTTAATAATCACGTTAATTCACGTTTATTATCAACACAATGCTGTTTGTCCCCAGTGAAGTAACCTATAACAAGCTTTTCTTCTTTCTGTTCAGAGCATTTGGTTGTCATATTGGGTTTTTACAAGTAGTGCTGAAACAATTCAATTAATCCCTTGACAGAAAATAAATAACTAATAAGCAAATAATAATTTATCAAGCACAATAAGCCTAAAACATTTTTTTTGTTCAGATGTTTTATATTATTTTAAAGTGAATACATTTGTATTAAAGATGACACCTTGGGTTTTGTGTTATTGACTATTTTTTTAGGTATTTCTTTTGAGTAAACTATCCATTAACTCAAAAAGTTTTTGACAGGTTAATTGATAAGTAAAATAACACTTTATTGTAGCGGAACACACAACAATTGCTGAGCTATTAAGTTTTATTTTCATTGAAAAATATGAGCAGTAGAAAACATATCCAGGAACCTACAGTAAGTACCGTCCAAGTATTGTTCTAATGAGGTACTCTTGGCAACACTCATGCTGCCTTGAAGCACTCCTGCAAGTATAGTAGGTTAAAGTTGAATCACAAAGCCGGTCTATGATCTATGATGGATGTTTACAAAATACAGTTTGTGTAATAATTTTACTGTATGCCTCCTTTTTCCCTTCCAAATAACCTGTCTGGTTGTCTGACTGTCATGTTCCTTGCCCTACTTGAGTTAGTCAAATGGTCATACCCATGAAAATAAGATCCATTTTCTCATAATCCAAACTTTTGACCTAATGAGTGAGCACTTACACAAGGGCAAACAATTTAAACTAATACAATATTTAATATGTTTCACCCCAGAATAAATGTTTTTGTGCTCTCAACTTTTCTGGTTTTGCCCTTTCAGTGTGTTTCTTATGCGGTTGCAGGGTGATGGGCCTGTCAAAACGAGTGTCATTGTGGTCAGTGGAAGAAGTGCTGGAGTGGGTGCAGGCTCAGCACCCAGCCCACATGGGCACGCTCCAAAAAGCCATAATTAAACACGCTATATCAGGTACAATTCATGCTTTATTGGCACGCATGTTAGGTGAGAAGGCCCATACATCTTTTTGAGGTTTCAGCACCCCTGATTCACACTCAATACACACCCAATTTGTAAACGAATAAATACTCACATATGCACGCCTGTCTTCCAGGCCGTGCATTGCTGAGATTAAAAGATCATCACCTGGAGCTTCTCGGGTTGGAGGCTGAGGAACAGCAGCAGGAAATCTTGCAGGGCCTCCTGCTTCTCAGAGTTCAAGAAGAAATCAATGAACTCAATGACATCTGCTCTGGTGAGAATGCCAAATGACTTTATCTTCAGGGTGTAGCTGAGCATCTAGTAGTTGTAGAAATAAGATGGTGTTTTTTTTAACACTGTATTCAAAAGAATAAATAATATTTTATTTATTTATTTATTGGTGGTTGTAGTGTAGAACCAACATTCCCATGCGTGGGAAGTCCCAGGAAATCAGACATGGATACACAGGATATTAATGTTTTACTGGCTATTTCATCTCACAGTCGAAAGTACACATTTTATTTTCAACCAGACTCAGGAATATATTAGATGTTGCGAACCAAATTTAGACAAGGCTCAGGAACAAAATTTTAACGTGTCCAGTGAGATAAACTAGCTGGTAACTTATATTTAACTTGTTCTTTTTTCTGCTTTTCAGAGTGTTTTTCTACATAACTGAAAGTACACAGAAGAAATTCAGCTCACTTTTTTATTTTCTATCCATTCATTCATCCATGTGAAGGAGGGAGAAAAGTGGGAGTGCTGGAAATAACAAGGAAAGGTGAAAGACAAATCAATGAGGAATGAAGAGAGAAAGAAACCCATTTCCTGTGTGAAATGTGACCTGTGCAGAAGGATGAGATTAGTTTTTGTCTGAGTATCTTTTTCTGATGCCTTCTGTCCATTAGTCTCTGTCTTTTGTCTTTCTCTGTTGTGGGTTTGCATCCCATCAGTGTATTATGCAGCGTAGCTTTAGGGAAGGCAATGCCGGGTTGTCTGTTGATCCATCTCTCTAAGTCAGTATCTAAACAGATACTGGATGAGTTGTAATGAGGTGGTGGTGCTGTTTAATGCTAATTAGCAAATGTTAGCATTCCAACATGCTAAAATAAGATAGGAACATGGTAAACATTATACCTGCTAAATATCAACTCAACATTGTCAATGTGCACATATTGCCATATTAGCATTAGCATTTAGCTTAAAGCACCACTGAACAGCCTGGCAAAGCTGTAGACTCTTTTTTGTAAAGTGAATATTGAACAGGGTTACAGAAAAATCCTCAACTTTTCTGGACTGGATGCTTGTTTTGTTTTTTGATACATGTTGTCTAATGTGATAAAGGTGAATCCTGTTTTAACTAGCTGGAGGAATTAGAATTTATGAATGTCCTTCGTGCATGTGGTCCTAAAACATTTTTTATATAATGTCATATTTCCTTTATATGTGTATTATAGGTATCAGTACCACTGCACATTTTTATTATGTAAAAAAAGGTCATGTCTATTTCTATACATGTTTTCATGGCACCACTACAGTGTGGTTGGTTGAATTAAAAGTGCTGCTTTAGCAACACAATTCTGCCTGCTGAGTTTCTTTCTAATCATCTGTCTGTTTGACAAAGAGACTCTCCTCACAGATGTCAGTGTAATCATCAGTCATTTGTTTGTCATCATTCTTCTTTAACAACCTTGTGCCTCACACACATCCATCCAGTGCTATCCAGTGTTCCCCTGTAACTTTGTTTTTGGTTTGAAAATCCCCTGAGACAGACCACTACGTAATATGTAGGACCTGCTTTAAAACTAAAGGTCATAATAATAAAAGCATATTAATGCATTCTTGTGTGCAACCCAAATCAACATGTCACAGACTCCAAAGACAGCAAATGTAGTGTTGATGAACATTGCAATAAAAACTTAATAAAACTACATCACATCTGAGGCTCCTGATCATAATCAATTAAATTGCACCACCAAGTGACACTTTTAAAAGCTTTAGCTGCCCTGAATGTAAAAGGAAACTGCTTTTTGTTGATACAGCTGTGGAAATGTTAAACAAAGTGAAATGTTTAGTCATTTCAAGACACAGCGGGGCATTCTGTGGCGTACCAGTGATGCCCACTGTTTCTCTGCACTTACATCTGGCTAATGAAGGCAAAGTACAACAACAAAATAACTGCTTTTTATGTTTTCCATATCCTAAAAGCACAAATCTAGTAAGCTTTAAATCCTGAACATCTAGGTATAACATTTGATTAGCTTATACTATAATTTACTTAGACACCCTGTTTTTTAACTGCAGCACCATTCAATCAAATACAAATCAAAATCTATCATTCCATATACATTGCCCCTAAATTCAGCCTGACATATTTGATATCTCTCGAAATGTTTGGATCTCCACTGGAATTAACCATTTTTTGGGTTTGAACAATGTTTAGCTGCACAGGGTGAGTTCATACTGGTGGGTCAAGGGCAAGACACAATATGCTTATGAAAACACGTTAACTGTGTGTGTGTGTATGTGTGTGTGTTACTACATGTTTAAGGTTATATACTGTAAATGTTTCCAGAATACCAAGCTTCCTATCAAGTAACCTTTCCTCTCCTTTTCTTTCTGCTTCTGGGCCTGATTGTGTGTGTTGTTTATGTGTGTGAGTGTGATTAATACCCCAGGAGACTGTGTGACATTTGATTTGGCGGGGCGTGGCTGGGGAAGTGCTTACTCAGCACAAACGTAAATCCACCTCACTGAAAGATTGAAGGGAATGTATTTCATATACACCACTGACCCTGATGACTGAGCCAAAATGAAAACTCAGATGCTAAATACACAAATGCATTCTTCTGTTTACTTCAATATACAGTATGTCTTTTAATCACAACACCAGTGGGTTGTATTGTGTTTAACATGACCTGAAGTTTGCAACATCTAATGATTCAAAAAAGAAAATATTGATAAAATTTTTTTACGTCAAATTACTTAAATACACCTTATGACAAAACTTTATCTGCACCCATAAAGGGTATGTGGACATTAATCAGCTGTTATAAGAGTCTTCATTCTTGTGTGAAGGCTCTCCACCCTATTTTGGAACCTGGCTGCACAAATTTACTCACATTCATCCACAAGAGCATTAGTGACTTTAGGAACTGATGGTGCAAGCAGTCCCACTGAGCAGTCGCACAGTCGTGGATTTACGTCAAGGATGGTGCGTTCAGTAACGAGTAACGCAGTGTTACTTGCCTTAGTAACTAGTAATAATATTACCGTTTTAGAAAAGTAGTTAGTTACACTACTTAGTTACAAGGAAAAGTAATATTACACTGAATACAACATATAATTTTATCATATAGTGTCCTTCAATAAGAAGCTACAAGATGATAGAATTTTCCTTACCTAACAGGCCCACTCCAAACCATGTAAACACCCCGACCCCTAAAGGACACACAAGTATGTGGGCAGGGGTGTCCACATACTTTTGGCCATATAGTGTAGGTTTTACAACCATCAAGTTAAAGAATTAGACATACATATTTTATGGATTTTGGAGGCATTTTTTAATTTGTGTTAGGCTATAACCTCACTTGCAAATTATTTAATTCTTACATATGGATAAGCAGATTTGGCAGCTAAGACAGTCAGCTAAAACATATCTACTGTTGAACTTGATACTGTATCACACACCATTAGATTTAGACTTTAATTATTCCACATGAAGAGCCACTTGGTCCTGTTTTCTTTCAGAGAGACTGAGGGAGAAATCCACATAAAAGCACAAAAAAAATGTCTTTTGTCACGTGATGTGATGGCGACCAGGCAGCCTGGTTTCAAACAGGCCAGTCAGTGGAGAGCCTCCTCCTTCCCCCTCCTTCGTTTAGTGTCTGCCAGCCACAGCAGCCTCTCTGTCATTTTCTTGTGATTTATTCATAGCTGCACCAGGGAAAGAAAGATCAATAGTTTCTAGAAAAATTAATTAGCGGCAGGCCACGAGGAGGGGCGAAAAAGGAGTTTAGTTCACTGTAAGTTCAGAGGAAATGTGAAAGTTGAGGAGGCCATGCCAGGAATCTGCTGCTCACTTCACTTGATTGCACTGCTAGCGTTTTTGCCTCCAAACAGTAGTAATTGGAAAAGTAACATTATCAGCTCTACTTATGTCTCCCTAGGAGCAGTCATTTGTCACATTATTTTTCTGTTACACCTTGAAAATTGGCAGTTGGCATCCAACATACTTTGAAACGTCAGTAGGTTTCCTCCTCTGTGCAAACTGCTGGTGGTGACAAGGATTAGAGAGCAATCTATTTGCATACTTGGCTTGCAAATTTATAAATGTCAGCTAACGGGACAAGCAGCTAACATTGGTGGACTGGAGCTGCTGGCAGATCAAGCTAACACAGCGAAGCATGAAGTTAACAAAACACTGGTAAGGCTAACGTTACATTCACACCATGTTGGCTGAATGGAAGTTTTATTATGTGTGAGTTTCATGCATTATTTCAAAATGTTTACCACTATTGTTAATGTTGTAGTCGCACCAGATAAGTTGAACTAAAAACATAATTTAATATCACATTATGGATCTGTATTGGTTTGTTCTGACATTTTGTAATAAAATACCAAGTTTTTGTAGTTGTATTTTGAACATGTAACTGCCTTTGATGGTGGATTTGCAGCTGTTTTGTAACTGGTTTATTGACACTTTGTGGTCCTTTTTTGCCAACTGGGAGAAATCTTATATATAATATATACTGTATATATTTCACTTTAATTATTTTCTTTTCTCAAATGGAAATATTAATGTTTTATATCATTCCCCCACGAGAAAACATTCCAAAAAGCAACTGCATGAACTGAAATTAAATGGGTACATGTGAGTAATAATATGACACATTGATTTCCTGCTGCTCTGCTGGCAGAGAAGCAACACAATACCCAGTTTTACAGCTCCCACAGTCCACATGTTGCTTATGTGTGTGTGGATTTGAACGAGTGTGTTAAGCTCACATTTGTGCATACATCCACACATCTTGGCGCGTGCGTGTAAAATTGCCTGTGCATGCAAGCGTTTTACAATATGAGTGAAACTGTCACTTGAGAGCAACCAAACACCACATCACATTTATTAAACTTTCCCTGAGTTATGTGCTTGCTTAAAAATCACTCCTAGCTGGCCCCAGCCTGTAGGTAACCAACTGTAGAGCTACAAAATACAAACTACAAAATATAAGTCTGACAAATATCTGCTTTCAAACATTTATTTATTTGCTTTTTTGTTCAGACAGGATGCAGAATGTGTAGGTGGTGGAGTGAGTGTAGAGAGTGAGGTTTCAGCTCCTGCAACAGCCCACCCTGATTGTTCTTGTACTTAAGCAAAACATTGATTTTCTACCTCTTTCAAGAGAGAGACTCCAGTTGAGCGGTCTTCATTGTGGAGGAGGTCAAGAGAGACAACAACAGTTAAAAGCTAATGGTAACTAGATGTTGGAATGAGCAAGTTTGTGAATGGAAAGTTTTGCGTTTGAATCCCCAGATAGGCTGAGAAAATCTAGAGCCTGTTCCTCTTAAAGGAATAGTTTGACATTTAAAGGAAAAACTTAGCACAGTTCTTATATAAGAAACTTTTACATAGGATTTTAGAAATGTAATGCTGTAGTTATATTGGTACATTTATCAATTCTGTGACCCTAGATTGAGGAGTGAAATTACTTTACTGAGGATGATGATGAGGATAGATGTAAGGGCATTTATAATAATCATCTACTAAAAAGATCCCTTTATTATCCCTTTACTAGCTATAAATATCGATTTCCCACTAAATCTCCTTTATCCGGAAATCCTTATATATTTTCAGTCTTTCAATATTGAAACCGCTACTTTTACACTCAAAAGCTTTCATTTTATTCTTCTATGGTCCAACTTTTTGCAGCGATTCAATGTTTCCAGCTACATTCAGAATGGATTTCTGCCATGGATCTTCTTAGCAATCGAATTACAGCGGAAAGAGAGACATCCAAAAGCATGAAGGTTTCCCTCCTGAGACTCTTCATTTCAGCAGTGATCAATGTAGTGTAACCAGAAAATTGCCCACACATCAGTCAAACCATCCCTCCAGGTGAGAATGGACATGTATGGATAAAAAAGAGGTTAAGACAGGAGGAGAGGGATGTACATATGCCTCATACATGCAGTGATGTGTTGACACTGATGCAAATGTTTGTTCTAATAACATTGGTGTCTTTTACAGCTCAGTTACAGCTAATTCTGTGCATTCTCCATATCATTGATTTTTTTTTGCCAGTTGGAACATTTTATTTATAGTTATTCGATGCATATTTTTGGCTTAGGGTTTGGTGAACTGCCGCACCTGCTTGGGAGTAAACAGAGGGAAAGAAAAAACAAGAGAGAAATGGAGAGGGATAACAGAGACAGCAAAATAAAAGCAGATTCAGTGCTCCTGCTGAGTTTATTAGCAGAGCACACCTGTTCACAGACTACAGCAGGTGCCTCTAGCAGAGTAGGCCAGACTGCACGTTAATGTGTGTGTGTGTGTGTGTGTGTGTGTGTATGTGTGTGTG